TGGGTTGGGGGCAGGGAGTTCCAGAGGATGGGTGACACCCTGGAGAAGTCCTGGAGGCGGGCATGGGAGGAGGAGACCAGGGAACTAGAGAGAAGGAGGTCTTGTGAGGAGCGGAGTGTGCGTGCTGTGCGGTACTTGGGTATTAGGTCAGTGATGTAGTTCGGGGCAGTATGGTGGACAGCTTTGTACGTCAGTGTTAGGATTTTGAATTTGATCTGTTGCGCAATCGGAAGCCAGTGGAGGGATAGGCAGAGGGGGGTGGCGGAGACAGAGCGGTTGGAAAGGTGAATGAGTCTGGCAGCCGTATTCAGGATCGACTGAAGCGGGGACAGCCAGCGGCGAGGCAGGCCAGTGAGGAGGGAGTTGCAGTAGTCGAGTCGTGATATGATGAGGGAGTGGATGAGCTGTTTAGTGGTTTCTGGGGTTAGGAACGTGCGGATTTTGGCGATGTTGCGGGGGTGGTGTCTGCACGAGTTTGTTAAAGATTGGACTTGGGGCTGGAAGGATAGGTTGGAGTCCAGAATGACACCAAGTACTCTGGCCTCTGGGGTCCAGGGAGGGCTTTTTAAGTATGGGGGTGATGTGTGCATGTTTCAGAAGGGAGGGGAAAGTGCCTGAGGAGAGGGAGAGATTGAAGATGTGGGTGAGAGAGCGTAGGATGGAGGGGGAGGGAGGTCGTAGGAGTTGTGAGGGGATAGGGTCGAGGGGGCAGGTGGTGAGGCGGGCATCAGAGAGGATCTTGGAGACTTCCTCGATGGTAGTAAGGTCAAAGGTGCGGAGTGTTGGGGGGGCTTCAGTATGAGGAATGTAGGGTGGGGTGGAAGATGAGGTCAGAGCAGTGGTGCCGTGGGAGAGGGGTTGAGGGGGTAGCGGAGTGAGGGTGAAGGGGGTTGGAGAGAGTTTGAGCAGCCAACGAAGTCCCTGCGGGTTATGTCGAGGGGGAGGGGGGATAAGGGGGTAGCTGTGTGAGAGGGGACGGGTTGAGAGGGCGTGTGAGTTGCGGCAATGTCCTTGCGAATTGTGTCAATCTTGTTTTTGAAGTGATTGGCAATCTCAAGGGCAGTGAGTGAGGTGCTGGGTGGAGGTGGGGGTGGAGAGAGTAGAGAGTTGAAGGCAGAGAAGAGTCGGCGAGGATTGGAGGAGAGGGCCTTGATGAGGGTCAGGAAGTAGGCTTGTTTGGCAGCATGGAGGGAGGAGGTGTAGGTGTGGAAGGCAGATTTGTAGCGGGTGAAGGCTTGTTGGGATTTGGTTTTGCGCCATAGTCGCTCAGGGCACGACTGTGTCGTTTGAGGGTTTTGGTGTGATCAGTCTGCCAGGGCTGGAGCAGTCGGGGTCTGATGTTTCATGTGGTTAAAGGTGCTAGTGAGTCAAGGGCTGTTGAGAGCGCGTTGTTGTACGCGGTCATAGCCAAGTCAGGGCAGGACAGGGGGAGGATGCGGTCGTGGAGTTGATCAGCTGCAGAGTGGAGGGAGGCAGGGTTAAGGTTGCGGAGGTTACGGCTGGTAGTAGTGTAACATTTGGAGGGGTAGGTGTTGGAGGATGAGGAGATAGAGAAGGTAATCTGGTCAGAGAGAGGGAAGGGGGTGTTAGTGAGGTTGTGGGGAGCGCAGCGGTATGGAGAAGACGAGATCAAGGATATTACCGTTGGAGTGGGTGGTGGATTGTATGCACTGTGCAAGTGCAAAGGAGGATGTTAAGTGGAGGAGACGGGCTGTGTCCGGGTTGTCGAGGTTGACAGGAATGTTGAAATCCCCAAGGATGATGGTGGGTAGCTCAGAGGAGAGAAAGAAGGGTAGCCAGGAGGAGAAGTCATCCAGGAAGCGGACTATGGATCCAGGAGGCTGGTATATCACAGCAATCTTCAGGGGGGTTGGGGAGAATAGTCGGACGCAGTGGGCCTCGAAGGAGGAGAAGGATAGGGAGAGGGGGTTTGGGAGGACTCGGAAGGTGCTCTGCGGTGACAGGAGCAGACCAACCCCACCACCTTTACGACCGTTGGGCCTGGGTGAGTGGGTCCAGGTGAGACCTCCGTAGGAGAGTGCAGCAGGGGAGGTAGAGTCAGTGGGCTGGATCCAGGCTTTCCGTAATCGTTAGATTTTGACTGAACGCCCACTTTAAGACATCTGCACAGCAAATATTTTATATATAAGAGGCAGAGCACAGACATCACCACTGTACACACACAATGTAGCTCCTCTGAGGTCTTCCCTATGTTTTCCTAACTCATTTGATTGACAAGCTGCATTTAATAAAAAAAAAAGAAAAAAGAGGTGGCATATTAAAAAAAAAAGGGGGGAAAGGAAGGATTAGGGCGTGCACAGAACTGACCCATTACAGGCCAACTCCTGGCAAAGAATTAAAATAGTTCCTATAGAGAACATCCTGCAAGGGAATGATTGCATCACTTCCCTCAAACAGTAGCATCACCTTCCACTAATGTTGAGGAAGTTTACGAAAGACTCTGCAAGATGTCATATGTATTACAAAAATTTGAATAAAGTAAAATGTAACACAGATTTGCAAATGTGTATGCATCATTTTTAATTTGCAATTTGTAAGTGTTGCATTAAAAAAATTTTTTTTTTCTTCTTCATTTACCTCCCTAGCGATCTGATTTGTCATATTTCTGTGCTCAAATCGATACATTTTTTTGCATGGAAATATGTATTTTTTTTATTGTAGGCCTGTAATTTTTAGGAATAGCTCACTGAAATCTGTCCGAACAAGAGTCTAGTAAACATCCCGGGTATGATAAAATTTGAAACACGAAATCATAAATGATAATTTAATAAATAAGCATAAAAAATAAATAATATAATAATATTACATTTAATTCAATAATATAATCAAACCAAAAACACTGAAATTAGAAATAGAGCGCCAAGTTCGCACATCGCTGAGCAAAGTCACAAAATCATTTTCAGTGTCTGATGGCGAATTTCCCCACGAATCATATCACTCAATTCTGCAAGTGGTTCTGATTTACTATCGCTGTTCTCTAGCTGGTATAAAACTGCTTTTGACCTAAAGGGACGCTTCTTGGACGCCATGGACGTTTCTCAGTTTCCAGGCAGAAAGAACAGTAAAAATGCAGGCAGGGCGCAGGACAAAGCATTCGGGACAAAATGTATGTGAAATGGTTTGATACAGTAATGTTTTACTATGTGATTTTAGTGTATTTAGTGAATGTCACTTTTTCACATTTTTTAAATTTCCCGCAATTCCTTCCCCGTATGTGCTGATGTCGCAGGGAACGGAACCCAGAAGACAGATGCCGGCATCGGCCGGAGGACATTGCAGGGGACACTGCAGGAGGGACATCGCGGGAGCGCAGGACAAGGTAAGTGAGGAAGAGATCCCGGAGCAACACTGCAGGGTATTCCCGAGTGTAGCTCGGGGTTACCGCTTGTGGTGCTGAAACTTTACCCCGAGCTACACTCGGGAATACCGCCAGGGAGGTTAAAAGCCAATCTAAAGACTTCCTCTATACACTAAAGTCAGCCATAGATGGATCAAAATTTGACCTGTTCAACAGAAACCAGATGAATTTCGATCCATCTATGGGCAGACTGGTGGTACTGAAGTCGATTAATTGATCCACTTGAGTACAACCAGTGGTGTATTTTTGGTTTGTGGTGCCCTAGGCAAGACACTAATATCACCCCCCCCCCTCCCCCATCTAAATTTGTCTCACCCTGCCCGTGGTAAACCATTCTTGCCTTAGGGTCTGATGAGGAAGCTACAACCATTCACAGTGAACAGCTGCAGCTTCCTCATCAGACCCTGAGATAAGAGTGCCACATATGTGGTCAATGGGGCAGACGATGGGGTCAGCGGGACATGGGGAAGGGTCAGCGGGGCAGAGGATGGGGTCAGCGGGACATAGGGAAGGGTCAGCAGAGCAGGGGATGGGGTCAGCAGGATACAGGGTATAGAACAGGGATCAGTAGGGCAGAGCATGGGGTCAGTGGGGCAGGAGATGGGGTCAGCAGGGTCACAGGATGGGGTCACTGGGGTGGAGGGTAGGGGTAAGTTATAGTATAGCAGGTGTCTGTCCTGTCAAGATATAGCAGGCTGTAATGACCTTTCCTCTCCCTTACTAGCAAGCAGTTTGTCTGTTTTGAACTCATCACAGTAAGGGGATCCTTCGAATCCAATGGCTCCATAGTAGAAACAGACCGTGATTGCCTCTGCTGCTCCTCATCAGGCACCCAGGAGAAATGCTCTAGTCTGGCTGCAGCCTCCCGGCTTCTATCCCTAGGAGCATGAGGGGGAAGAAGATCGGCGCCATCTTGGCTGCACCAGGACAAAGCCCCGGCCTCTTCTTTATTCCTCCTAGTCATCGCTCTCGTTGTCGGGCGCTGCTGCAGGGTGAAAACACTACAGGAGGCAGTGGCACCGGACTCCCCAGAACACAGTGATCTGTCTGGCGGTTCTTCTCCTAATTAATTAAAGAGCAGCTTCTGATCTTCTGCCGGGGGGTGGCGTCGCCCAAACCCCCCCTCCCCCCCCCCCCCCCCCCCAAAAAAAAAATGCTGCCCAAAGCAAACAACTTGTTTGCCTCGCAGTACATATGATAGAGTATAACCAACCTATTGGGTTTTTTAAGTTGGATCACTGCCGGTAGCTATATCCACCAGCAGCAAACACTGTATCCTGCAACCTGTGAATTCGCTTAGATATGAGAAGCGATACACCAACTGTTTAGCTGGCAGGACCAATAAGTATGTATCTGACATTGCAGGAGGCTTTGTGGAATCAGAGAGAGCAGTCTTTTTGATGTAAGGAAACTTCGTAAAAGATCACATTTTAGGCTTTGTTCTACTTTAACTGCTGTGGAGAAAAGTGATGGCTAATTATCTAGAACACAAAGCCAGTTCAACAAAAGTTTATAAGAAGTAATAAGAGTTTACACACAAAATATACACCTGAGTATTTATCCTTTCTCCCTGAGTCTTTTTAGCACTTTTTCAGCTTATGGTAATTAATATAGCACTAACCTACTATATAAATGGTCCCATATATTCTGAGGAAGCATCACCACAAGGTCCTCTATCAGGCCAGCCTTACGTGGGGGAACACCTAGGAAATAACCAAAGAAAGAATCAAACACGGTACATTGTCAGGTGACCCCGATAAATCAGCATCAAGCAAAATTGACTCTGCAGGATTGGACAAACTTTCTAGACTTCATTTACAATAATTTTTTCACATTTTCTTACTTCAGAGCCTGTCTATTCAGACAACAAACAACCTAAGAGAATGCCATTAGGTAACAATATCAGAGCCACGAAAATGCAAACAGACTGTAAAAACAAGTATCCTTGTAGTGGATTGTGATAGACAGTCCACGTTCTATTAGATGATCAGTAAAATGAAAATTTTTTATAGTCTTGCTACTTTCTGCTTCTTGCTCTTTAAATTCCTTACTCTCTTAAGTAAACAATCAGATATAGGTTGACAGAACAATGATGATAATTAAGATGGCGCCTTCATCCGGAGTCTCACACTAGGTGACTCATTAGGAGAAAAGTATCTTTTAATGTAAACAACCCCCATAAAAGGGAATGAGTCTTTTTGGGGACAATGATTGGAAGATATCAACACGGATGGAAGAACACGCAGAAACCCAGTGGACTATTCACCCAATCAATGTATATGCTTTGCCTGCATCATAAGCCCTATAAATGATACTGTTAGTTCTTCAATAAAACAGAATTGTAGGAAGTTGGCAAACTGCAACAGTGTCAGTGTCTTGCTTCCACGTGCACGTAATTTCTATATTAATTTGGCTCACTGGTAGATCACGGTAAATGGTCTGTAGGTGACCTAGTCCAAAACACTTTGTGTGGAACTGAAACCTAGATCCCAGAGCTGCAAGAAAAGACACTTTAAAGCCAACACTTTGTGTGGAACTGAAACCAAGATCCCAGAGCTGCAAGAAAAGATGCATCTTTAAAGCATGACTTACCCCCGTGCACACATAGGAAATCATTATTGGATATGGGGCCAGGTTCAGCAAATGTCTTAAATTTATTGAGCCACTGGCGAGAGACGTAGAACTGCAGAAGACTGGGCTCTGTGAGGTTTAGGAGGCTGGTCACCCTTCTCCTCTCTTTCTGAGCATCTTCACTTGACTTCCTGGGAGGAAAACAAAACAAAGCAATAGTGAGGATAGTGATACTGCAAGCAGAGAACGCGGCATTTCTTCTTACAGCAGAATTGTGCCAGATCCATTAAATGGTAGATGATGCTTGGAATAAGACTTCCAGCAGAGGCAGTGAGTCAGTCAACAGTAAGTGGATTCAAACATGCTTGGGACAAACATAGATCTATACTCAAAAAAGTTAAAGCGGAGCTCCACTCAAAAGGGTGAAGTTCCACTTTAAGCATTTGTCCCCCGCTCCCCATTATGGATTGGCACCTTTGGGGAGCAGGGGGGAGGGGGTACCCGAATTTGACAGGTACCCGCTCCCACTTCCGCTGCGATCGCCTAGGCGATTGGAAGCGGAAGTTGTCCTACCCCCCGTAGTGTTCTGGGGGGTCCCAGAAGACTACAGAGCCATTCACAAAGCACAGTGCTTCTCACGCATGCGCAGTGGGCACCCGGCTGTGAAGGCGCACGCTGTCACAGCCGTGTGCCCACACTGAAGATGCCGGAATTAGGGAGAGAAGATGGCCAGTGAAACCAGCGGTGGTGAGGACACCGCTGGACCGAGGGACAGGCAAGTGGCTGTATTTTAAGGGTCAGCAGCTTCCATTTTTGTAGCTGCTGACTTTCCCCCCCCCCTGGTGGAACTCCGCTTTGATAAGGAAAAATAATTAAAAATACCCCCCCCCCCAAAAAAAAAAACCCCAAAAAATACACGAGTATGGACCACTGTGGGTTTTTTCTGCCATCACTTTTCAATGTTTCTATATTAGGTAGCCAGCCACTTGACTAGTACACTACATTATAATAGAGAAGGTGCAAAAGTATGTTCCTGTGAGCAACGCTTCTCCAAACATCACTAGTCTTTGTTGCTCCATCATAGTTTCTATATGGAGTATTGCCATCATTCAGCCTACATTGATTAAGGAAGTTTGCATTTATAATGCTCCAGGTTTTTGGACTTTTTGCCACAATATACACAATGGAGGGGAATTTACTAAAACTGGAGCAGTCACAATCTGGAGCAGATGTGCACAGTAACCAATCAGCTTGTTCAGTTAAGCTCTGAAAAGGAAAGCTAGAATCTAACTGGTTGCCATGCACAGTTGCTCCAGATTCTGTCAGCATGTTTCAACATTGGCTCATATATGAGGATTCTATATGTCAAACACAATACATTCTGGACTGCATACTGGTATGATCAGATGTTATCCGCTGAGGAAGAATTGTTACCATTTTTTTCTGCACACTGTGGGGGCTATTTACTAAGGCTAGGTACACACATAAGCAGTTTGCATTCTAACTGTTTCTGCATTGCGTTCTGTGTTTTTGCACCTGTGTTTTGCAGGGTTTTTAAAAATATTTTTTTTTAAATTTCTTGTTGCTATGCAGATTTAAAACGCAAAATGTGTCAAAAACGCAACAAGAATGCAGCAAAAATGCACTACATGCTTTTCTGCAGCAGTTCCATGGATGTCGTGGTTGGGATTCAAACTCTGATGCTGCCAAGCGGAAGTGCTAACCATTTAGGCACTGTTCGGTTTGTTCACTGGACATACTGTAAGTTTATACATGTTCGGTTCTTTTGGGATAAAGTTTTCAATATACTGGAGTGACTAACATTTTAATATTTTTTCATTAGCCTAGAATTTAACCACTTGCTGCATGCTAATAGCAGATTTACTGCTAGCGGGCGGCAGCTACAGGGTAAGAGACATACCCGTACGTCGCGCCTTATTTCTGGGTTTTGGACACAAGTGCGCACACCCACTGCTGACCTGTACTGTGATTGGACACAGCACGAGTTTGTCAGTAGGCTACAGCCAATGGTTTTGGGCTTTATACCTGCTGATCGGTTGTGGCCAATCACAGCACAAGGTTCTGTGTTTACAAACACACAGCACATAACAGAGATCTAGCCGTTTCTTGAAACCAACTCTGAGGTCAAGGAGAAAAAGTAGCCTGTCCTGTGAGTAAAAGCAGCACACATTACCCACTAGGCACACAGTTAACCTCTGGATTGGCCTCCTGAGTGGATAGGGATTAGACCACCTGTCAGTTTTTTACACCTGTCTACACCTTCCATAGGAGAGATTAACCGTCTGTTTGTCATGTTTACCATTATCATCAAAAGTGGAAGCAAAAGAAAATTCCCAACTTTGGCTTGCTCCCAGAACAGATAGAGAGGTGTAATTTCCCAAATGAGGACACTAGTTCTGGTGACACCCCAGGATTCCCTCACTTTGGAGTAGTTTCCTCTCACTTCCTGTTCTGGCTATGGGACAGGAAGTGAAGGAAAATCTGCTTGTTGGGACACAGATGGTAAAAAAAAAAAACATACCTTACTCTATTCCAAATGAAATAAAAAAAGTTTAGCTTAGTTCTACTTTAAATAATAAATTTGGGTATTGAAGATAAAATTATTTTTTTTGCATTGGTTTTGATTCAGGTAATACCCTAAACCTGTTTATATGCTGCCCCCTATAATATGTTTGAAGTTTAGGCATTCCTACTTTTGGGTTTTCTTTTTTTGTTCAGGAAGGACGCATCCTAGAGCCTCTATACCTCCTAAGAAGAAATCTCTTTCTACAGCGGAGCTATACCAGATCCATTCAGTTGGGAAACCAGGCACATTACATGAAAATACACAATATGTTATCACATGTTCCTGTGAGCACCCCTGTAGCAGCCAGGTAGCAGTGAGATGATGGAATTTCAAGACACAGGCCGCTAGAAAGGTATGTATAGATAGGCTTCTTTTACAGGGCAGGCTCTGTGGTGACAGGATCCCTTTAACCACTTCCCATCCGGCCGTTGTATATAAACGGCCAAATGGTGGCAGTGTAGGGGCGGGTTGCCGTTCATAAACGGCGCCCGCCATTTTGGACTGGGAGTGCGCAGCACCGCGATCTGATGCCCGCTGTGTCCGGACGAACACCGATCGCTGTACGGGACCTCTGTGTGAGGTCCCAATCATGTGATCACTGATAGGCCAATCAGTGATCACATGAATAGGTATAAGCAAGATGTCACTTCTGACATCATTGCTTACTACGTGTGAAATCTGTGAATAATCACAGAGATCACATGGTACAAGGCTATTCACAACAGCCTTGTACCATGTGACAAGCTGTGACCAATCACAGCTCACACAGTATTTCTCAATGGATGCAAGAATGCAGCCAGAGAGAAGGAGAAATGATTGCTTTTACAGCCTTTATGGGTGTAAAAGCAATCAGTGTAACAATAAAAAAAAAAAAAAATCTTCATCACCCTCCACAAGTAGTACAGTGTCACTATGGTGACACTGAACTGCTAGGGTGATAGTATGTTAAAAAAAACATAAATAATAATATCAAAATATAAAATAAAAATGTAAAAACATTTTTTTTTTAAATTATAGGTTTTTTTTATAAACTAATTTGGGTTATTTTTTTTTTTTACTAAAAAGATATCTGAATAAATGTTGGCCAAGAGTTATGAAGATTATTTATTTGCAAAATTTTATAAGAAAAATACTTTTTTTCAAAATTTTTGGACTTTTTCATTTATATAGCAAAAAAAAATAAAAATCCCAGTGGTGAATAAATACCACCAAAATAAAGTTTTATCTGTCTCATAAAAGTGCTAAAAAAAATTCCTATGGATACAGTGTTGTATGACCGCGCAATTGTCATTCAAAGTGTGATAGCGCTGAAAGCTGAAAATTGGCCTGGACAGGAAGGGGGTGAAAGTGTCCAGACTTGAAGTGGTTAACAAAAATGAACTACTTACCTGTAGAAAAGCACATAGGCTTCAGCATTCTGCACGGTAGCTTCAGACACTTCGGTGACACTCTGGTCATCAAATTCATACCAGAGGTTATTCAGGTTGTTGCGGCAGTAAGCAATATAGTGGCCACCTGGACAATGATTGAATTGAAGGTTACAAGAAGACAATATTCGCAAGGGCTTTACTCAAGACAACAGGATGCATCCAATCCTATCTAAAAGTACTTACTGCTGGCAGTGCCATGATGACAGATTACAGACAAAAGGTCATAGGTGACGATCTGGCTTGGGCTGTCCTTAGCAAGGAAAGGCTGCAGGTCCAAACCCTCCAGCGGGAATGATACGTGAGTACCGATTTTGGTGGAAAACATAAGTTCATGCCTAAAGCGTTTCAGGTGTATACTCAATATCTGCAAGAAGATAAATTATATTAATTAACATGATATTCAAAATATATTGGAAACCATTCAAAATCATATTTAATAAACATATATGATTTGAAAAACAACTCTACCCCAGATTTTTCCTTAGGAGTCAAAAAGATCTGACTGCTCACCAGAAATTATTGCTATCCAGGAGAACCCACAAACTGCTGCCTCACTACTTAAATTGCTGCAGTCACCAGCCCATGTGGCTTCTCTAAATATTCATTTGGAACACCGAATTGCTGTATCGTCTGTCTTTTCTACACAGGAATATAAGCTGGATTCACCTGAACCTATTGCTAAAAACATCACTCTTACTTAAATTAGAGTTAAGGCCAAAACTTTTTTTTACCCATTTTGGATACAGTAAGGGAGGGTTATGACCCCTGTGGGGTTTTTTTTGCCATCCATGTCCCATTGGGGAGATTTCCCTTCATTTCCTGTACCATAGCCAAAACAGGAAGTGAAAAAAAAAAGCCTCCAAAGTGAGGTAATCCCTGGTTGTCACCAAAACTAGTGTCCCTATTCCCCTCTGGGAACCACCTGGGGACAGCCCAAAATGTGAGATTCTCTTTTACTTTCATGTTCGATAATAATCATAACAATACAGAGGGTGAATTTTCCTAATGGGGGGTAAAAACAGCAATAAAAACAGGTGTTGAAAGGTGTTCTAATCCCTCTCCACTCTATCCGAAACTAAAAAAAAAAGAAAAAAAAAAAAAGAAAAAAAAAATGTTTGCTTTTGGTTATACTTTAATTTATTAAAGCAAATGTAGCAATATTATTAATTTAATTACTATTGAAGAAAAAAATAAGGTAATTGTGAAATTCATGGCAGCAACAGGTCTCAAAAAAGTTGGGACAGGGCAATAAAAAAGCTAGCAAAGTAAGTGGTATGAACAAGGAAGAGCTGGAAGAACAAAGTGCAACTAAGCCTAGGTTCAGATGTCTTTTTCAGAGAAGGCCTTGCATATTTCAGCAGGACAATTCTAAACCGCATGCTACACCTATGACAACAGAATGGCTTTGTAGTAGAAAAGTCTGGGTGCTCAACTAGCCTGTCTGCATTCCAGATCTTTAACTGCTTCCACGCCGCCCTATAGTAGATGTACTGCTACAGGGTGGCAGGGGCGTGCAAAATCACGTATATATATACACACGTGATTTTGCAGTTCCAGATAGGGGATGCATGTGCGTCCTACCTGCACCGCCCTTCGTGTCCTCGGCTGTCAATCACCGGGTCCCAGCCAATCTCCGAGTATTACAGACGGAGGAGAGACCTGTGTATAAACACAGATCTCTCCCCTGCAGCTCCTGCATACTGCTTTGTATGGCTCTGCATAGCAGAGCCATACAAAGCAGTGTGCTTACAGTGTATAGCACAAACACACACAGCAAGACAGCACACAGTTAACCCTTTGAACACCCCACGTTAACCTCTTCCTGCCAGTGCAATTAGTACAGTGTCAGTGCTTTTAATTAGCACTGATCAATGTATTGGTGTCACTGGGGATGTCAGTGACACCACGTCAGTTCCCCCCAGTGTCAGAATGCCCGCCGCAGTCCCGCTATAAGTTGCTGATCGCCACCATTACTAGTAAAAAAAAAAAAAAATTCCAGTATATATACACACCACCATTTGAAAAGACTATAACTTTCACGTAATCCAAATAATTTACACGTATTGGGATTTTATTAGCAAAGACATGGAGCAGAATACATTGTGGCCTACATTTATGACAAAATTTGATTTAAATCTTTTTACTGGACATGTTTAATAGAAAAAGTAAAAAATATAGTTTTTTTTTCAAAATTGACAGCCTTTTTTTTTGTTTATAGTGCGAAAAATAAAACCGCACAGGCGATTAAATACCACCAAAAGAAAGCTCTATTTGTAGGAAAATAAGGACGTAAATTTCATTTGGGTGCAGCGTTGCATGACCGCGTAATAGTCAGTCAAAGTAATGCAGTCGTATCACAAAAAGAGGCCTGGTCAGCATCTTGAAATGAAAAATACGACAAAGAAGACCCAGGACTGATAATCGGTTATATATATCAGACAAGAACGTGACAGCATTCCTCTCCCAAAACTTCAGCAACTAGTCTCCAGTTCCCAGACGTTTACAGAGAGTTACCAAAAGAACAAACGTAACCAGCGCTCAAATCTTCATGCAGACTAAATGGTATTCGGAATGCCAAAACGGTGAGGTGCCGCCCTTCAAAGATCGGGAAATCTGGGTACTGGTGAACAAAAGCAAACAGGGGCGCACTCTCATCGTGCATTACCGTGGTACACCACGTATTTATTGAAAAAAACATATAGATATATATACTCACAAACCAAAGAGGATAAAAACAGAACGGGGTTCGCAATAACATGCAAATAAAAAGATGGCCACCGCCCAAGTCTATAACTGGCTTATATAGCAAGGACACATAAACAGGCATCACATAGCGAATGAAGGGGAGAGAACAATGTTCTTGGACAACTTGCCAGCCAGCTTGCTAACAACCGTATTAACCTGTCTAACAGTATGCGTTTATAACAGGGGTTTCGTTAGCACACATTTGCAAATACATACGTAAGCCACAGAGCCAGGTCACGGTCTGCAATAACAGTCCAATGCAATACGTGCCCTACGTAGGGATAAGCTGACGCGTTTCAGGAGATAAACCCCCTTCTTCCGAGCTCCATGAGAGTGCGCCCTTGTTTGCTTTTGTTCACGTTTACAGTGAGTTGTAAAAAGAAGAGGGGAGGTCTTTTCTGAGACGTGTTGCTGCCATCAATTTCAAAATGCCCTTTTTTTTTTTTTTTTCTTAAAATAATAAATTTTAAAATTTTAAACATTTAATGTGTTTTCTATTTTCTATTGTTAATAAAATACGGGTTTATGAAATTTGCAAATCATTGCATTCTGTTTTAATATTATATTATGTTTCAATTGGTAAAAGGTCTGGACTGCAGGAAGGCCAGTTAAGCCCCCGGACTACTCCACTACAAAGCCATACTGTTGTCATAGAAGCAGTTTAGCATTGCCCTGCTGAAATATGCAAGAACTTCCCCGAAAAAGACAGTCTTTTTTTTTTTTTTTATAAATATTTATTAATTTTTCACTTCATATACAAGTCATTTCAACATTTCTATTAAAATATTTATCAAAAACATATTTAATTTATTCCTATATATGACCTTCTTTTCTTACCGTCCCCCCCCTCCCATGCTCCCCCCCCCCCCTCCCTCTCCCCATCCCCTCCTTCCCTTACCCTCCCACACTCCACATTCTCTCTTCTCTCATTTGCTCCATATAATTCTGTTGTTCCTGAATCCAATTCTAAACCGACTACCAGGGGCATAATCACTTCATCTATTTCACCATTTCTTTATATTTTCCCCATCCTTTCCATTTTTTATTATAGATCTCCAGCTTGTCCTCGTGCTTGTCTTAACCTAATTAGCTGCAAAATATTCTTCCAGCTCTTCCTTGTTTGTACCAACTGCTTTGCCAACCTTAATTTTGCCCTCTCCCAACTTTTTTGAGACATGTTGCTGCCATCAGTTTCAAAACGACCTTATTTTTTACTTAAAATTGAACATTTTCTCAGTTTAAATATTTTTCAGTTTTCTATTGTGAATAAAAAGTAGGTTTATGAGATTTGCAAATCATTGCATTATATATTTATTTATGTAGAGTTTACACATTGTCCCAACTTTTTTGGAATTGGGTCTGTACTAGGGCAGGGGTGGGCAACTGTGGTCCTCCAGCTCTTGTAGAACTACAAGTCCCAAGAGGCATTGCAAAACTGACAGTTACAAGCATGACTCCCAAAGGCAGAGTTATGATGGGACTTGTAGTTCACCAACAGCTGCAGGGCCACAGTTGCCCACCCCTGCACTAGGGCAATGTTTGACAATTTAGAAGCCACTTAATCTAGCAGAATGTTCTTCAATTCAATATCTAAATACTGCTAAGCCCTAGATCTGGACATGGTGGAGAGTAGAGAAACCAACAGCTGTGGCTGCACCCTAGGTGGCTGCCTAGTTCGCCTAGTAGTAGCACCAGCCCTGGCTACAAGTGACTAAATGCTCAAATGTAAACAGGAGCCATTGAAATTAATGGGATTTTCCTTGTTGAGCATTCTGAGCTTCGAGCCGAAAACCACCTTAAAGTGTGAACAGGACCTTAGGGCAGGGGCGGACTGACAACTCATGGGGCCCCCGGGCAATAGGGGATCATGGGGCCCCTGTGTCCTTGCCCAAACTCAAAAAAAGCCTATGAAAAAGGTACCAGGGGCATCTCATGGGGCCCCCTACTGACCCCGGGCCCTCAGGCAGTGCCCAAGTTTCCAAATGGTCAGTCCACCCTTGCTTCTACTAGATTTACATCATAATAGGGATTATGTGCATTCCTCAGCTTCTCTTCACCTCTGACCCCACTAATGTCGAACCCACTACAGACAGTTATGGGGCAAAATACAGGCTTGCATGGAACAGTACACAGAAGCAAGAAATCTGTAGACTAGAATCAAAGAGGTTAGTGTAATTTCTGTAACTGCTAATCTTCACACTGCCTGGCATATGATGTTCCAGACTGTGGTTTATAGGCCATGGCTCCAGTTTTTCCCCCCCATCACATTCCAAAATGGGTAAACCAAGCTACCCTGTACACTGTGCCTCTATAAATAGTAATAGTGCCTGTACGCTATACAACGCCCACGCAATAAGCAGAACCTTTCTGTAGATGATCTGTATAAAATTTAAACTACAGGGCCTGTAGAAAAGCAGAAAAATAGCTGGCGCTATGGTATCATTCTAGCTGTAGGAAAACCAGCATTCAGATTATGAAACTCATTTACACTGAACTCACACAAATACGTGGTGCTGCAGAAATGGGCCTTCTTCCTGGGCACTACATATACAAACTCAGCATTTGTGCTGGACGTGGACTCCCAGCATGATAAGCAAGCTGTCAGCAACAGCTCCCGGT